GCTCTCGCGCGGCGCTACACGGCAATCAAGACCCCCTCCCTTCCGTCAAGACGACAGCGCTTTCGCCGCCGCGAGGCGCTTGCGGCGCTGCAATTTGTCCCGCGCCGGGCCGACATGCCTTTCCTCTTGCATGGCAGAGCATGATCACATTGGATCACACTACGTGTAGGTGTGCGAGGGTCATGTGGATGCAATATCTCTTTCGTCGAGATTCGATGTCTTGGCGTGAAGCCTCATGGATCTTACCCCGATCTGTGAAGTACCGCCTGGATCCACGCATCCTTGGATTGCAGATCTGCAGACCAATGCTGTGATTCTACGGGCGAAGGATTTCAAGCGCGCGCTCGCCGAGGCTCATAAACAAACAAATTACAACACAGTTCAGCATCCCGAAAACAACACTTTTTAAGCCACGGTGACCTCTGAGTGTTCGCGCGTCCTCCTGCTCCAGATCGGCCTGCGCCGTCGGCGTCGTCGTCGAGCTTCTCGTCATTGTCAGGGCCGTCGTCGTCCTCCTCCTCCTCCTCCCCCTCCTCCTCCTCCCCCTCCACCTCCCCCTCCTCCCTCTCCTCCTCGTCTTCCCCATCCAGAATTGCGAGAATGTCTCATTCGAAACCAGCCAGAAAACCTCTCGCGCGGTATCTTGGAGTCCCGAATTGCAAAGATATCTCAAGCGAAACGGGCTGGACGACCGCCCCGAATTGCGAGGATTTCTCAGGCGGAACGGGCTGGACCACATCTCGCGCGGCATCTCGAAGCCCAGAGGTGCGAGGATGTCTCAGGCGAAACGGGCTGGGCCACCTCGCGCGCGGCATCTCGAGGTCCAGAGTTACGAGGATGTCTCAGGCGGCACGCAGACCACTCCCAGAGCACAATTCGACCACAGAAACGTAACCAAACGTTTCGTTTAGGTATGATCCCTCCCACCTCCTCCCTTATCCCTCTCGGAGCAAAAAAATCGAGGTCTCGGGCGCAAGCCGGACTCCGGACCACCTCGCTCGCAGCAGTTCGGAACCCCAAATTGTGAAGAAGTCTCAGGCGAAACAGGCTGGACCACCTCTCGCGCGACATCTCGAAGCCAAGAGGTGCGAAGATGTCTCAGGCGAAACAGGCTGGACCACCTCTCACGCGGCATCTCGAAGCGCAGTCCCAAAATTTCGAAGATATCTCAAGCGCAACTGCCCGGACCGCCTCGCGCACGACACCTCGGAGTTCATCGCTGTGAGGATATATCAGGCGGCGCCAAGACCCTTCCAAGCACAATTTGACAGCAGAAGTGTAATCAAACAGCTCATTTGGATCTGAACCCTTTTCCCCCTCCAAAGAAAAACCCAGCAGCGCCCGAAAAGGCCAAATAATCATTGAGTTCCCAGAAAAGGCTTTTCAAGGAGTCGGACAGCTTTCGCCTTTTCCGGACTTCCTTCAACTCCAGACGGTCCTAGAGGGCACCAAGACGGCCCCAAGACGGCCCCAAGAGGGACCCCGAATGGTTCAAGAATCACCCAAGACGGCCTCAAGACACCAGACAGCCCAGGACGGCCCCAACAGAGCCCCAAGCTGGCCCAAGAGTGCCCCCAGAGGGACCCAAGGCCGCGCCTCTCGACGGCCCCAGACGGCCCAAGACAGCCCCACGGCGGGCTGCAAGACCCCCAGACGGCCAGGAGGGCTCCAAGACTCTCCTAAGACGGCCCCAAGAGAACTCCAAGACAGCCCTGAGACTGCCCCAAAGTGGCCCGCACGAGCCCCAATACAGCTCCGCAGGAGCCCGTGATGGGACGGAGGAAAAGGAGAAAGACGAAGAAGAAGAGAAGAGGCTCCCTAAGAAGACGCGTAAGAGTGTGTCACAGGTTTCGGCTCCCCCAAGCCTGGGGAGACGAGGTGTCGCACCCCGAAGAGTCGCCACCCAGAATGCTTGGCTGGCGCGGTGGCGGGACTTGCCGCGGGCAACTGGCTACTGATTAAACAACCACGCGGGACGCAGTCATCCTTTGCGGAATCGTGCCCTCGCTTTGGCACCGCGCACGCTTCTCTGAAAGAACTGCCAGCTGCGCGGAGGGAGACCGATTCCCTCTCAAAACTGCTGTGCTTTGCAGTGTACGCTATGCGGTCAAGCCTTGGCGTTGCCATCGAGCCGTGCGTCGAAGCGCACTGGGCTCCTGATAAAATCGGTCCATGGGGTCCTCGCGCTTCCAGCGGACGGACGCCGTAGTGATAAATGAGCACGCGGACTGACTTGTGAGGGGGGAACCTAGGACTGGAGGGAATGCTGCATCGTCCATGGCTCGTGGTAGGTTGTCCTTGCGCAATTTCTTTCACAAATATAGGCTGCAGCGTCCGAGCCAGGGTTGGCCTCAATTTCATCAGCGTGTTACCATAGCGAACGCATAATAAGAAACTACTGGGCTTTTCTGGCCACGGGCGGACCTAGGCCAGAAACAACTTCCACGACATCAATGTAGATAACGGCCCGAAAAGCCGAGCCCCTCCTGAGCCCAAGCCAGTCCTTATTTCAGCGTCTTGACCGAAAGGGAAACATGCTCTGATCCTCCTATTCCTCCTTGATGCGCACCTGTTGCCTGTGATCACCGCACGGCGTCAGACTATCCCGCTCGCGGCTCGTCGTAGCGCTCTGTAACTCTGGATCCGAAAAACGCGCCACTTTCTCGCCGATCTAGCAGCCGAACACATATGCCGCGAGCAAATCCCACTTGATAATGCTGCCTGACGAATACCTCCCCCAACCTATTTTCCTCACAAGTAGCTCCTCCCTGTCGCACGCCCAGACGTCTGCGTATGGCGGGCCAGGCGTTTCGCCTGAGCTTCTCTCACCACTTCTGATCCTGAAGCTTGAACATTACAACAGTTACAAGTATTGGGCGCAGGTCGTTTTCAAAATGAGGCGCTATCGCCTCCGCGCCGCGCGCAGTCGTCCAAATGTTGCAACAGTTCCAGGGGTGAAGGGAAGGCCGTTTTCAACAAGTAGCTTTCGCCTTAGCGCGGCGCACAGCTGGGTTGAAGTTCGCAGCAGCTTCAAGGATGGAGGGCGGTTCCTTTTCAAAATGTGGCTCTCGCCTTCGCACAGCTCAGCATGGTTGTAAATATGTGCAGCTGATTCTAAGATGGCAGGGGGTCGTTTTCAGAATGTGGCTCTCGCCTGAGCGCCGCTCACAGTTATTTTACAGCTTCGCAATAGCATCACGGATGGATGAGCGTTCCTTTTCAAAGTGGGGCTCTGGCCATGGCGCTGCGCACATTCGTCTCAATATCTTGCCAAATGCATAACGATTACGCACAATTCGCTTTCGAAATGCGGCTCTCGCCTCAGCGCCACGCACATACATGTTTGTATTATTGTTTACGCTTCGTGTAGAAAGGTCGAAGACTGCTCTTTTTCAAATTGGGTTTTCGCTCGAGACATAGCTAATAATGAACAAACCCTGGCAGCATTGTTCCTTTTCAACACCGAACTTTCGTTGAGACTTCCTCAACGGTCACGACCACAAGTGAAAACGTAACGTGTGGCAATAAATACACGGGTGGGGAGCGGTCCTGCTTCGAAAAAAGGATCTCGCCGGACGCCTCGTTGAACTGTGCGGTAATCTTTTTCGCATTCCCGGTTACGCACCAGAAATATGCAAAACAATACATATTCAAAATGGCAGGCCCAACCGTGTTGGTCTCTCAAGCGGAAGCGCTTCTTGAAGTGAAAAGAAAGACTTTCGGGACCTATGAAGAGGTGGCCTCGGACAGGAGGGTGTACTGCAGCATCGCTTACGCATCTGGGATATACTCTGGACCACCTCCCCCTCCTCCTCCTCCTCCTCCTCCTCGCCGTCTTCGCTTCGCGTTCAACTTCGTTGTCGTCCTCCTCCTCCTCCTCCTTTTCGTCCTCGCTTCTTGTTCAGCCTCGTCGTCGTCCTCCTCCTCCCCCACTTCCTCCCTCCTGGCTCGTCCCTCGCGCCCTGTTACTTGCTCCATCCCCGGTCCTCCCGCATCGCCCCTTACTCTTTTCGCTCATCTCGACTCTCCCTCCTCCCGCCTTTTCCGGTCCTTAGCTCCTTCGCCGCATCCTCGTCTTCGCTCCTCGTCCCTTGCCCCTTGCCGCTCGCTCCTCCTATCTGCTTCCTCCCTCCTCATTCTCCGCCTCCTCCTAGTCGGTTCTGTCAGCTCCCCGCTGTTTATACTCCCTCCTATTTCCTCCCCCCGCTTCCCTCATCGTCCTCCTCCTCCTCATCATCATCTTTCCCTTCCTAATTCTCTATTGGAATATGTTCCCACTCTGCCACCTAGCCGGCCGAAAGCAACCCCATCCAGAGGGTTCCATCCTTCCTTTCAAGAACAATAAAACATCAGTGAATTTCCAGTCCAGATGGACGTGGCAAGCATGAGACAGGATGCGCGTCCCGCGCGAAAGGCCGAAACATCGCTCTCGCTTCGGCGCCGCGCTCACTTTCCCAGAGAATTGAACTCCCACTATGGCGCGGCGCGCATGTTTCACACGCCACTTTGCCGACGCGCCGGCGGACAAACATGTCGCTGTCGCCTCGGCGCCGCGCAGATCTCGCCTGAAAGTGGCGACCCCGCCTCGACGCGGCGCATGCTTCGTCTTCGCCGCACCCATAGGAAGTGCTGCCGCACCCACAGAAGTGCTCGCGCCCCGCGTCATCTTCCCTTCGGCAAGTCGTCGGAAGCGGGGCCGCGCGCGAGCGCCTTTCGTTTGCGAGGCGGGAACGCATTCCAATCCCAATGTCAAGTTGTGCCACAATTCATCCTTGTGTTGCGGGAGGGAGGGTGGGAATAGGCGGGCCCCTCTGACTCGCAAGACCTGGCTAATTTGACTCTCCTCCTCCTTCTCCTCCTCCTCCTCCTCCTCCTCCTCCCCCATCGGTCTTCCAGTCCCCCCTACACCGGGGGTCGGCGCCCAAGCTGGCTCCCAGTGGGCCAGGGCTGACAGCAGGCTCGCCAGCTGCCGCAGCGTGGACCGTCTGTGGCCAGGGTACCTGCCATCGGCGCACCCCCAGCCAAGAGTCAAAACGCGTGCCCCACCGCTTCCCTCTGCTCCACTTCCAGTTCCCGCTCGGAGCCTCCCCCTATTGTCTCTTCCTGCTCGTGCCCCATATCTTTTGCCGCTCTCGCTTCTTAACCATGCTCCTGTCCACTTCCTCGTGACCCTGCTCCAACTCCTGATCTCCCCTCCTCCCAGGCGCGGGGCTCCTCCTCCTCCTCCTCCTCCTCCTCCTCCTCCTCCTCCTCCTCCTCCTCCTCTCCTCCTCCTCCTCCTCCTCCTCCTCCTCTCCTCCTCCTCCTCCTCCTCCTCCTCCTCTCCTCCGCCTCCTTCCTCTTTCTCCCCTCTCTCTCCTTTTCTCCTCCTCTTTCTCTCTCTCTTTCTCCTCTTTCTCCTCCTCCTCCTCCTCTTTCTCCTCCTCTTTCTCCTCTTTCTCCTCCTCCTCCTCCTCTCCTCCTCCTCCTCCTCCTCATCATCATCATCATCATCCTCCTTCTCCTCTTTCTCCTCCTCCTCCTCCTCCTCCTCCTCCTCCTCCTCTTCCTCCTCTTCCTCCTCCCCCACCTTGTCCCTCCCTTCCCTCCTCCACTCCCGCTCAGTGCCCCTCCCTTCTCCTACCCATCGCTTCCGCCCGGCCCCAACCTCTCCCCCCCTGCCCCCCCCCCTCACGCGGCGGCGCGCACGAGGAAGCGGAGGGGGGCGAAAGAGGCGGCCCTTCCAGAGGCGGGGTGGGGCCCTCCGGGAGCCACCCCCCGCCCTCCGAGGAGAAGCCTCCTCGGAAGCCTCCGAGCGCTTCCGCGAAGCACCCTGCCCCGTCGGGCGGACGCCGCCCCCTGGTGCGTGCCGCCGGCCCCCTCCCTCCGCCCTGCCCGCCCACCCGCCCTGCCCAGGAGGGGGGAGGGGAGCGGTGCCGGGGGAGGGGAGCGGCAGGGGGGGAGGAGGGCGCGGGCTCTCGCCCGAGAGGGGTGCAGCCCCTCCGCGTGGAGGGGCTGCACTCTCCACTCTGGAGGCTGGCTTCTCCCTTGCGGGGTGCCGGGGGCACGCCTGCATCCGCCACCGTGCCTGCACGATGTGGGCGCGTTCGGATGCCAAGTGCAGCTTTGCAGGGCTCCTGCAGTCTAATGAGGGACGCCCCCCCAGTCCCCCCCCCTTCGTCCCAGAATGTCGCGTGCCCCCCCCCCCGCCCCGGAAGGCCATGATCCCTCGTTTTCCTACACACCATATCATGGACGCTCCCGCGCCCACGATCCCTCGCTAACAACGATGGATTTTTGCCGCCTTTCAGGCAACCAAAGACACCAAAATGGCCACGGGCCAAGATGGCCCCAAGGCGGCCGAATCCGGCCTCAAGGTTGCCCAAGATGCCTCCAAAAGGCCCGAAAGAGACACAAGAGAACCTCCAACAAGATCCGAAGAAACCAAAGCCACTGATGTCCCCTGGGCTTTTGAATATGTTCGCATTCTCGCCTCTTGTGATGAACGATGGCCCCAAGACGGCCCAAAGGCCCCCACGAGGGCCCAAAGATGGACCAAGAGGACCCCACGAGAGCCCAAGAGGCATCCCAGAGGAATCCTATCCACCCCCCAAACGGCCTCCCGTGGGACCCAGGACAGCCTTACAATGCCCTTCGACTGCCCAAGACGGCCCCTCGACAGCTCCCAAGCACCCACCATGCGGCCAAAGAGGGCCCCCAAACGGTCCAAGAGAACCCCAGAGCAGCCAAAAAAGGCCCAAGACGGCACAAGAGGGCCCGGAGGGACTTCCAAGACTGCATCACAGGAGGCCAGGACAGTTCCAAGATGGCCAAAACGAGCGATATGCGGGCTCCTCAAATAGTGTCATATGTGGCGCCTTCCTCCTCATCCTCCTCCTCCTCCTCCGCCTCCTCCTCCTCGTCGTCCAATTCCTCCCCCTCCTCCTCCTCCTCCTCGTCTCCTCCTCCTCCTCCTCCTACTCCTCCTCTTCCTCCTTCTCCTCCTCTTCCTGCTCCTCGTCCTCCTCCTCCTCCTCCTCCTCCGCCTCCTCCTCCTCGTACTCTTCGTCCTCCTCCTCCTCCTCCTCCTCCTCATCATCATCATCAGCAGCAGCAGCAGCAGCATCATCAACATCAGTATCATCATCACCACCACCGCCATCATCATCAGCATCATCATCAGCAGCAGCATCATCAACATCAGCATCATCAGCAACATCAGCATCAGCATCAGCATCGTCGTCATCATCATATCACCATCACCAGCATCATCATCGCCATCATCAGCATCAGCATCACCATCATCATCATAATCAGCATCAGCATCATACTCATCATAGTACTTGCCGACGTCAACGCCATCATCATCACCATAACTATCATCATCACCATCATCGTCATCATCATCGTCATCAGTATCATCACCACCAGCATCATCATCGTCATCAGCAGCATCGTCAGCATCATCATTATCATTAGCATCGCCATCATCATCATCAGCAGCAGCAGCACCATCATCATCGCCAACTGCATCATCATCATCATCATCATCATCATCATCATCATCATCATCATCATCATCATTATCACCAGCAACAGCAGCAGCACAATCGACATCATCATCACCAGCAACATAACCATCACCAGCATAATCAACATCCTAATCATCAGCATCATCAGCTTCAACAACATCATCACAATTAGCAACGCAATTATCCGCACCACCATCAGCATCACCATCAGTATCAACATCACCAACATCGTCACAATCATCATCAGCATCACCACCACCCTCAGCATCAGCATCAGCATCACAATCACCAACACCAACACCAACACCATCATCATCATCATCATCATCATCATCATCATCATCATCATCATCATCATCACCATCATCATCATCATCATCGACATCATCATCATCATCAGCATCATCATCATCATCGTCGTAATCGCCGTCACCATCACCACCACCATCACCAACACCAACACCAACATCATCGTCACCATCATCGCCATCGTCAACATCATCGCCATCGTGATCGTCATCACCCTCATAATCACCATCATCCCCCTCACCATCATCATCACCATCAACGTCATCATCATCATCATTCACGGCTTGAACTCGAGGATGTAAGAGATGGCCAGTATCCGTGAGGCCCTTCGGCAATCTCTCTTATTCGACGAAGCTTCATGACAACAGGTGCAGTCGGGTAAGCTGGTGAGCTACTGATGGGGAGGCCGTTAAGCAGCTGACAATCATCACGGTCAACGGCCACCATCCCCCCGTGAAGAGGGCCTTTCGATGGGTTGGGTAATCAGATAATGACGCGAGGAAGTGACGGCCCCTCCCTCATGGACAGACACGTGGACTACGCAATTCCACGGCTACGCAGAGCAGGCGGCTACCTGTACCACTGGCGCAACGAGCAGCGGTGGCACAACCAGTGGCGGCTTCCATGACTGCCGTGGGAGCTGACCTGGGTGGAAGGCCCAGGAAGATGAATGTGAGTCTCGGCCGCCGTCTACGCGACGTTGTGGTCTCACGCACCTCGATCGACATCTACAACGACATGATCCGCGGCGTAGGGCCCGAGCCTACCCAACCATCTCAACCAGTGGATGGCGATCCCGCTGAGGAGCAGGTATGTCATTGAAAATGATGGACGAAGGTGGATGGCAATAACCACGGACAGTGCCGCTTTCAGAAGAACCTGTGGCTGGCCCATGCAGGCTATGCCGTATATGTTGCGCCTAACCACCGCCTCGACTACCCATCAAAGTTGTTCGGATTCAGCCAAAGCAGTGCTCGAGCAGAATCAACTGCGCTGGGTTCCAGTTGCCGAGGAGCCGGCTTAGATTTCTGCGACAGTGGGCAGTGTGTCCGTCTGTTTCAGCACATCCAGGAGGGAAGCGACCCGACGAGCGGCAGCTGGGCGGACATATGGCTGCACATTCAGAGGGTACTCATGGGAGCTCAGCATCAAGGGCGAGGAGTTCGTGATTGAACATGTGAACTCGCACAAGGCGATGACGGTGTGGATCGTGGTGCCGTCTCGCCGCATGCTGAAGAAATGACTCGATGTGCTGACCAACTTGCCGCTGCTGCCGCTACGCGACACCCCCTCCCGAGCACTGCAATTAAACGAGACAAGAACTGATTTTACTTGACCGCTGATATGTACGAAACTACTGTTCAGATTTGAGAGAAGCGAGCCCTCGCCAGATCCCTGCCCCGTACGGCCCGTGGGTCAGCGGGGTTGTCGGAGGCCCAGCTCGCTCGCCTCACACCGTCCTCTACCTCCGCCTCTCTCCTGCCTCCCCCTCTTTCCCATCCTGTGCCCCCTCACGACTGAGAGGTGGATATGGGGGTCCAGGGCGAGCTCGATGAAGAGGCCGAAATGGACCCCTTCGGATTTTGTTTGGAGCTAGGTAAGCTGTCTTTACACTGCCCAACTTGGCATCTAGATTTGATAGCAACCGCCTTTAAGCCCGAGGCACGAGACTGGCCCTTCGATGTGTATCCGTCTCGGCTCTCTTGCGCGTTGACTACGTTCTCAGAGTCCTGGTAGGGAGGGTGCTCCCATGTGGGCTATCTCTGAGGTAGTCCAGGTCAACCCAAAGAGTACGGCATCATCATCATCATCATCACCATCACCATCACCAGCACCACCACCATGATCGTGATCACCATCACCATCACAATCACCATCACTATCACCATCACCATCATCATCATCATCATCATCATCATCATCATCATCATCACCACCGCCATCATCATCATCATCATCATCATCATCATCATCATCATCAGCATCATCATCACCACCACCATTATCATCATCACCACCATCATAATCATCAGCATCATCATCAGCAGCAGCAGCATAATCATCATCAGCATCACCATCATCAACACTATCAGCATCAGCATCACCATCATCTCCATCAGCATCAACATCATCATCACCATCACCATCATCATCAGCAGCATCATCATTAACATTATCAA